TTATAATGTAAATTTATGCAACATAATTAATGGAGCAAAGGAAGCTTAAAGGAGCCTTTGGCACCTCCTAATCCTATAAACCAATGGAAGCAGAACTTCATGTTAAAATGAAACTTTTTTTTAAGAAATACTCTGATCTTGGGCACACACGCACACGCGCCCGGTGTGAGTTTTAAGCCACCGGGTCTGGGATGTGAACTGCGGTCGACTACGTGGGAGTCCAGCGACATAGCCATTATGCTAACTTCTGGTTCCCATAGATGGGTTTTCTCAAGGGACTTGAGAGGACTTCAAAAGGTTTATAGAGAAATGAATTTAAAGTATGACTTTATTTTGATGCATTTTTTTTGAAATTTATGCATAATTATTTTTTTTTTGAGAGGTTTTCGCTATAGGGCGCGTGCGCTCGCCAGACAGACAGACAGAGAGACAGAAAGTGAGAAATCATCCCCCCAGGGGGGATGGCCACGCCACAATCCCTTCTCCTCCATTCTCCTCTCGGGATCTTGGGCACGCACGCACACGCGCCCGGCGTGAGTTTTAAGCCACCGGGTCTGGGATGTGAACTGCGGTCGCCTACGTGGGAGTCCAGCGACATAGCCATTACGCTAACTGCTGGTTCCCTGCATAATTATTTTTATAATAGGCATTGTCTTTAGCTTTTTGAAGCCCCTTCCCCTTCTGTGTACCGTGATGAACTACAGCTGGTTTCTTTATGGACAGCACTTTAAATGAGTATAAGTATAGCATTTGAAAATATCTCTTTTTCAGTAATGGGCATGCCCTTTTTTTGCCATTTTATTCCATTTCATTTATTTTAACATTTTAGTTATTATTTCTGGTGTACATATAATTGATGTAAATCTTTGTGGGCTATAGGCTGTTTTTTAAGGTATGCATACAGTGTACAATAATCATTTCAAGGGTATATCCATAGTCATCTTCAACATTACGCTGTGCTGTGCATGTTTGGTAATAGTTCTACTAGGGTTTTTTTTTTTTTTTTTCTTTTGAGAGAGATTTTTGCTATAGGGCATGTGCACTCACCAGAGAGACAGAAAGTGGGAAATCACCCCCAGGGATGATGGCCATGCTACAATCCCTTCTCCATTCTCCTCATAGGATTTTGGGAGTGTATGCACATGTACCTGGCATATTTCAAGCTACTGGGTTCGAGACTTGAACCACAGTTGACCATGTAGGAGTCCAGTGCATCAACCACTGAGCCAACTGCCAGCCCCAGTTTTATTAGTTTTTTTAAATGTATGTAGTAAATTACCCAAATGTTTTACTCTTGTGTGATACACTATCCTATAGCCACACTTCCATATCTAAGTGCATTCTTGTGTCTGTTACAAATTTTCAAATGAATCTCCAGCCCCACCCCATCCTCCTTCAAGCCTCTCCTGGTATCTCCCATTAATGTTTCTAGTTCTTTGCTTCTAAGTCCTTCAGTTTCCTCCAGAGTGCAGATATTTGGTATATGTTAAGCAGGGACACATAGTATTTGTCTTTCATCACTTGGCTTATTTCACTTAGCGTTATATCTTCTGGGAATACTTTGATCTTTTAAAAGTAGCTAATGAGATCACTTCTTGGGCTTTTGACTAAGATCAAGTGTAAAAAAAAAGTAGCTAATGAATGATAGGTGTGACTCCACACTAGTAACTTTTTCTTCATACTATTTGAATAGGATTCTAATTTCTTTCCTTGTGTGCAGTTTTTTTCCCCACATGCACTCATACACTACAGTACACTCAATCTTCTTAATATGTGGCTTTGATTTGGTAACTGCCCTAATCAGCAGTCTTCAGAGCCTACCAAATAAATCCTCAGCTTGATATTGAGACCCCTCTTCACCGTTCCGAGGAACTATCCTGAAGCATCCTTGCTTCTGCTCTTTTCTGGAATTCACTATATCCTCTCTATGCATATTTAGATCTTTTCTATTCTTCAAGGTCAAACTCAGCATTAATCTTCTACCTCTGCCAACAGCTTCCCTTAAATCATTCTTTCTGACTGTTCTCCCTTGGCCTTTCAAATGCCAAAAGTCATCTTGTATTAATATTTTATGTGTTATTTGTATATAGATCTTATCCTACCTATTAGTTATTATTGTCCTTGAGGGCAGAAATCTTTTATACTTTTGAATTCTAGCCTTGCAAGTAACAAATGCTCAATTGCTAAAGATTCTTTCTAGCTCCTCAGGACTCAGAGATTGAGTAGTGGGTGCACCAACATGTCCCGTGGTTCCAGCACTGGTTTTGACCGCCACATTACCATTTTTTCACCCAAGGGCCGGCTCTACCAAGTAGAATATGCTTTCAAGTCTATTAACCAGGGTGGCCTTACATCAGTAACTGTGAGAGGGAAAGACTGTGCAGTAATTGTCACACAGAAAAAAGTTCCTGACAAATTATTGGATTCCAGCACAGTGACTCACTTGTTCAAGATAACTGAAAACATTGGCTGTGTGATGACAGGAATGACAGCTGACAGCCTATCCCAGGTACAGAGGGCACGCTATGAGGCAGCTAATTGGAAATACAAGAATGGTTATGAGATTCCTGTGGACATGCTGTGCAAAAGAATTGCTGATATTTCTCAGGTCTACACACAGAATGCTGAGATGAGGCCTCTTGGTTGTTGTATGATATTAATTGGTATAGATGAAGAACAAGGTCCTCGGGTGTACAAGTGTCATCCTGCAGGTTACTACTGTGGGTTTAAAGCCACTGCCGCAGGAGTTAAACAAACTGAGTCAACCAGTTTCCTTGAAAAAAAGGTGAAGAAGAAAGATTGGACATTTGACAGTGGAAACTGCAATTACATGCCTGTCTACTGTTCTGTCAATTGATTTCAGACCTTCAGAAATAGAAGCTGGAGTAGTTACAGTTGAAAATTCTAAATTCAGGATTCTTACAGAAGCAGAGATTGATGCTCACCTTGTTGCTCTAGCAGAGAGAGACTAAACATTGTCATTAGTTTACCAAATCCATGATGCCACTTGCCTGTGTGTTTGGTGAGAACAAAACAACATATGGAGGCCCCTGGATTGTAAAAGGAACCTCTTCCACTCCTCCTACTGCTGAAGTGGTTAGGACTCTGTATAAATAAAAAACAGTGCTTTTGGAAAAAAAATTCTTTCTAGCTCTTAAAAGTATATTTATGGAACTATATTACTTAACATTTTTTAAGAGAGAGATTTTTGCTATAGGTTGTTTGCACTCACTAGAGAGACAGAAAAAGTGAGAAATCACCCTCAAGGGAAATGTCCATGCCACAATCCCTTCTTCTCTATTCTCTTCTTGGGATTTTGGGCACACATGCACACATGCCCAGTGTGAGATTTAAGTTATCACGTCCAGGACTCCAACCATGGTTCACTATGTGGGACTCCAGGAATGTAACCCTTATGCCATCTGCTGGTCCCTACTTAATTATTTCTAATAAATCAATATTTTTTCCCTAAAGAATTATTTTATTTAACTTTACTTATTTTAATTTGACAGAGAGAGAGAGAAAAGTGAGAAAGTAAGCTGCTACGTCTGGGACTTGAACTGCATTTGGCCATATGGGAGTCCAGCGTCCTTAACCACTATACCACCCACCAGCCCCTTAATGAATAAATATTGAATACTACTGCTGTGGCCATTTAATCTGACAAATAAAAGTAGTGATCATAAATAGGAGGCTTGGTAGTTGGTGTGGGAGCAATTTAAATAAAACTTGTATGTAAGACAAAGAAAATAGGATGATGATTCTTGTTTCTATAGAGCAGGAATTACAAATCTTGGGTCTTGGAGCCCACATTATCTGTAAATGGGTTTCAGGACTTTAGCGAACCCTTAGAAATTATTTAGAAATGTGTGTGTACGTTTTAAATATTTTAAAAAATAGTATCTCTATTGAGATATAATTCATATGCTGTTAAATCCAAGCATTTAAAGTTTACAATTCAGTGATTTTAAGTAAGTTTAAGGTTCTGTAACCATCACCCCCAGTCAATTTTAGAACATATTGACCATCCCAAGAAACCCTATCAATACTCATTAGCAATCACTTCCTAATTTCCCCAACCCATCCAAAACCCTAGACTAACCTACTTTCTGTGTTTCTTTGCTTATCT